GACAACACTAAGTACGTAGTAAGTATAACAACTCACAGAACACCAGCGTAAAATAGCAGCTTAACACTGCTTTGTTTCGTACGGTGAGCTTAGAGATCCGGAGACCCATTTTACTGGAAAAGAGGCATTCCATCTTAGTCCTCACAGCTGACAACACATCTGCATTTTGTTTCTTTATTGAGGAATGAGGATAGATGTAGATGTTTATGAGCCACAGCAACCACTTACCATCAGGTGGACTGTGTGCTCGTTTGTCACCCTATCATATAAAAAGTTAGTATTATTACTAAAGTATATTCGGCGAGTTTTATCCAGTACTGACCCTTCTAAACAAAAAATTCATTATACATTTAGCTTTTTATACAAAAATGAGTATATTTATTACTTTTAAAACTTCTTAGTTAAATCGACAGTAATCGCAGTAAATTATAAGACTTTCTAAGTAATAAAAACGCTTATAAAGTGCTTTAACCTTATGGAATTACGATGTGGGAACAAAAGCGACAGGCCTAGATAAAGTTCAACATAAGTAAAACTAAAGGAGGACCGAAGCGGAGTCGTAATTAGCTAATTAGAATTCAATAGCATTGCTTTTAGGTTGATTTTACGAGGACGCGTTTAATAAAAACCTTAAAGCGTCTGTGTATTTTGACTGTCTAATCTAAGATATTCAAATCCAACAAAGGTTACTACGCAAATAGATAACGAAATTAAAACTAAGTGACCTGAATATATGTATTTCAAGTTTATGGAAACCTTGTTAATAGTAACCAAAAAGATACAGTTAATTATATCCAGTTCAGTTCTTTATCCTATGTGATAGAGTCCCTTTTTGCTTAAAAGTCCGCTGTGTAAGCATCACCCTCTTATCTACTGTCAAGCTTAGCATCCAATTTCTAAGTTTTGTTCCAATTAAATGGCTATGGAGAGCCACTATAATTACAGACATTCTATGATAGTAATAGTAGTGACGATGCCATTGCAGACTTCTGTGTTTAAATTTTTCTTCCAGTTGTCTATGAACTGCAGTAGCCAGTTACCTAAAGATCTAGTGTAACTTTAATTTAATAAAAAATATAAACGTAATAACGTAGGTATGTTACATGAATTTGCTTAACTTTGATATTTCATTTAATACTTCCAAGAGTGGTCAAGAGTACCTTCACCAGTTATTTACGTTAACTAGAATATTTTGCTTAACGACCTTATTCTTAATTCTTAAAATATCCATATTATTGTTTTTGACTTAAAGGCATTGTTAAATAGTTAGTATTAAATGTGATCTGGTTTTTGCTTATCTGTTTTGTTATTATTCTAAAAGTAGAAACTTGTAAATGGCTTAATAGTTACATTATTAAAATTTATAATTATTGTAAATTTTCCAAATAAAATAATATAAAAATAAAATGAAACAATAAAATTTTACTTCCTACTTCATATTGACTTTTGCTACTTAAAAATCAAACTATCAAACATCCACTTATTTAATAATCTAGGTTAATCATAAGGAACACACTTATAAATATATAATAACTTATACTACATACTTTAGATTATTTTTTTAAATATTAAGTAATGTACAAAAAATCATTTATGGTAAAACATGGTAGTTTATGGAAACTATTTTTTAATCGTTTACATAAACTACAAAGTTTTTATTAAACTTGAAATGATAAATAAATAAAGAAGTATAGGGGAGAATTTAATATTTTGGGAAGATATATATACAGTAGTGGATTCATTAGACTAATGAAAGAGAAGATATGAAATGTGATTACATCAAAACCATCAATCAATAAAACAATGTAAACTTTGGTGCCGTGCCGTTTAGTGACAGAGTAAAAGAAGCCACTGCCACATATCATCCCGTGGGTGGTGTAAGAGGCGATAGAGGAGAAACAGGAGATGGGCAGTTGCATCTTCCTAATACCAGCTTAAAATTATAAAAAACTGCGCTTGCCAACCCGTCGAACCAAGCGTGGCAGCTATTGCAAATATCCCGACTATGAGGCAATCTATGAGAGTGGCTTATGTTACGATAGAACTCTTTTGATACGTTTTATAGAGCGTATGTGCCTATTTTTTAAAAGTTTTGTGTAGTCTCAATGATAACAGTTTATAATTTAAAAAGATATTAATAAAATAAAACTTGTATCTGTTGTTCTGCAATTTATTTTTAATTTTACCATAGTACTGTAGTTGTGACAGTTCTTACTTCCTCGCGACATAATGTAAGATAACGATTTAACTTGCTGTCACGTACTGTCCCGTCCTGTCTTCGGACAGTTCTGCTAATAATTGTGATGCAATATTGAATCAGGTAATTTATTAATGTCGCTCGTTTCGCATGTGGCTGAGATGTGCACGATTATTGTATTTGTACTGAGACAATTTAAAAAAATCTATCAGGTTCGATCTGGTAGCCGCTTCTTCGTTTTAAAAATATATATATAAGCATCTGATATATGCAGTATATTAAAGACGTTGTTATAATTTTGACGTATTATTTAATGCTATTGCCACAAATCATCATCCGTTTCAAGAAAGGGAAAGACAGTGACAGTGACAAAAGAACACTTCGATTTTGGTAGTGTTCAAACGCGCCATCGGACACGGGGTCGTGCTCGTGTGAAACAGAGAAAAGAAAGTGCAGGTAGTCGAGTCGAGTCGACAAGATTTATTAGATCGTAACTGGCGAGGTCGGCAACACCCGCCGATGTCATCGCGCGCTGCCACAGAAAAAAATTAAACTTGTCCATAGATCGAAATTTGAATCATGTTCATGGTTACCTTCGTTTCTTTTCCTTATGTAGTGCACAGAGAAGGTCGAACGTCGAATTTTACATTAATTTATAAGTAAATATATGAACGTTTAGTTTACTTTACTATTTTAATTTAGAATCTACGTAGTGTTGCAAGAAAATAATTTGTATGATATTATATCATTGTTCGCTTTCTTAAATATGTCGAGTTGTAAAGCTAAAAACTCAAAAACTAAAAAAAGATCACGTTAGACGTCTAGCATAGATCATTTTAATTGTTTATATAAACGTACCAACATGATTACGTTGCTAAACGACCTTATGACGTAAAACAAATTTGTCGATTTGCGGAGTCAGAGATATAATATCGTTCCAAACAATTTTGTGATAATTGACACGTTAATCGTGGATTTTAAGAAAACTTTTTAAAAAGTAAACGACTTGCTTCTGGAATGCTGCTCTTCCCGAGTAAAAACAGCAAGCCGTGTAATTAAAACTAGTGCCGCTCTCGACATTCTTTGACCAAATTGTCGCTAACCGTGCCTACATTAATGAATTTTTAATGATTACACCACTGGTAGGTAAGAGTTGTAATTTGTTGTGTTGCTAAGGGGGCAACGTCAAACCACGAGTACACAATACTTTGCTTCTTATTACCATGAAGAATAATTTTCCAATAATTTTTCAATAATGACACATTTTTTGTTTCAAACAGTTTTGCTTTATTTCTTTGAAACAATTATCTGTTCTTGAAGAACACTCAAAACCTTTTTTCAAATATTCTAGCGATTAAAGCATCTCCCTCTTCTTCATTCCTGGTCCCAGGCCTCTCCCTTTGTAAAGATTTGCCTTAACCATCATGCTTGGAAGATAGATTGAAGATCGCAAAATCGCAATACCAGACGTTTTGGACCTTTGATGCTGTTCCATGTGGTTGACCTGGGTATTTTTCGCCTGGCGTAAACGGGATGGTATTATCGCCATCTGAGATTCTAACATTATATTTAGTTATTAAACAGTGTCACAGTTTGTCTGTTTATTTCTATTTGTATGTCCCGTAACAGATGGTTGCCATAAAGTTGTATTAAAATTATTTAGTGTCAAATGCTGATGACACATGCCTGTAGACGCCTGTAGTTGCTCATCGATCTAAATATATAAACGATGAATTTCCATCAATGATTCAGCGTCCTCTTTCAGTTCTGTCCTGTGATTGATATGCATTTATATTCCTTTGATGTCTTACGTCGCTTAACGTCGTTCTTGCTGTATGATCTTGCGAAAGCCGCTGTTCAGGTCTTTGAGGCTCTCTGTAAAGAAAAAGACATAGAAAAAGACGAAAACATATCCTTGGTATAATAACATATTTACCTTAAATCTATTGCATAAGGCTTTGACGTTATACGAAAAATGATAAATTTTAAAAATATTTGTCCATACTCGCCTGCCAAGCGTGATGATTAAAGCAATTCCTCCCTAAAATGGGAGATACCCATGTCCAGCTATGTAATCTTATAAGCTGATGAAGATGAAGACGCGAAAGTTGTTTAATATTATTAAAATACAATATTTTAGCGACATAATGAGCACAGCTTGACCCTAATGTTACGCCACTTGAATGATAATTTTGTATGTAATTACAAGGTGTATACTTTTAGAGAAAAGAATTCTCTGCTATGTTAAAACGTTTACTTTCATTATTTTAGTCTAACAAGAGTATGCTTTTCTTATTCTTGTATCAGAATTTTCTTTGATGTTGGGCTTACACAGATATCAATATCATTAACATTTTCTAACTAGTTGTTACCTTGGAAAACACTGGTAAATGTTAGTTTCGAATGACAAACAGAATTTTCAGTAATTAGAATTCGTAACTGGCACAAAGGGCAGTGAAATATAATATTCTGAGAATATGTTCTTTGTTGTGTTAGTATAAATTTGAAATTGATTTATTACTTTCAGATCTTCACTTGTAGTCGTTGATTATATTTTCTGTATAAGCTTGTGATACTGGTAGCTTCATATGTTGTTGTTCTGGTCATCTATCTAAGTTAGGCTTAATTTTGTAGATTAGCCCGCTATATAAGCTTTTTTATCGTAAACAAAGACGAGTCACGAGAGTCAATAGCGTCGAAAATGACGGCTTACAGACTACGTCACCCGCTTCCTCTCTACACGTACGTAGCGAATGACGCAATTGGCTTTTTCAATGTCTTATCTACAGCGAGGTGTATTGTCATTCGCCAAGTGACCGCTGCGCTGCGCACACGTCGCAATCGTCGTGGTTTATTTTTGTTTCACTTTTGTCTTTATACTTTTTCACCGCCGAGGACGAGGCGACGTATCGCGCGCTGTGAAGTGGCAGTGTTTTGAACTTTATCTGTGACATTGGTGTGGCAATTTTTAAACTGTAATTAGGTTGTTTTTATTAATCTATGATGTACATGTCCGGATTTTTTATTTTTTCCACCGATTTCGCATCGAGGTGTGTATTAATATCTTGATCACTATTAATTATTATTAGGTCGTTCACTTTGCACATTACCTATTTTAACCTGTTTTGTCTACGTCGCTTTGTTTTTAGAATTATCCTTAAGTGATTTTTTCTAGGCTTTCCTCGACATATTGAAATATATCTTTAAGGAAATGTTTTACATTCGCAACCTTGAAGCTGTATTCCGTTTTCGCAATATCAAAATTAAAAAGTTACGTTTTAACAAAGATTGCTCACCTGTTATGGTGATAATGTTTAGTGTAAATAGTTTTAACGGTTGGAAATAATATTTTAACGAGTGCTAATGTCTCCGTGTGATTGTTACAGAATGACGCCGCAAGAAGAGCGTGAGAGTGCGCGTGGGGCAGAGATTGCAGACGCCTTCGAGGATGACATGTTCGGCCCACCGCGGACAGAGCCTGCCACTCGCCCAAAACTCTCCATGATTTCCGCAAGGCTTCGAGCAAATGAAGAGCGCAAGCGGGTCATTGAGATTTGTTCGCAAAAGCTGGAAAATATTGAAGATCCGGCGCGAGATCTCCGGCGGTCAGTCTGTATCAACAACACGTATTGCCGACTGAGCGAAGAGGCGCGCAAGGAGAAGGAAGCGAGGAGACGACGAGCCAGAGAAGAGTGCGATGATTCTTGGGTGGGAAAGAAAGCCAGGCGAGCGGTTGAGGACGAATGCCTGGCATTGTTGGACGCAATACCGGAGTTGGGGGACGCAAATCTCGGTTGCGCCCAACTAGCAAGGCAACTGCCGCGACAAGATGTACCGTTGCTGCCGCCTGGCCTTCTTACGGTTCTCGATTCATGACCGCACCGCACTGCACACCTTCACACACAGCTGTGATGTCAGAAATCGGAATAAGACGCGCTCGAGCCGAAAGCGCTCGAAACGTTGACCGTGTTACCGGACGTACGCGCTCTTAGCGATTCGAATTGCACTCGAAGTGATCCGGGTCGCGTTCGAACCTGCGCTTCAACAGACGACGAGCGCCGAGCCGCAGTATCCACGTCACCTCGGACAGTCAACGTATAGCTAATTCTTTGTTGTTTAAGAAGAGTACTTACTTTGTTAACATGTTTTTATTATTATTTAGTGAAAGTTGCTCAGGCGCAGCCGGCGGGCGCGGTCCAATTTGTGTTCGATGATTGTTTCATCGGAGGACTCGGAGTGAATTTTGTCCACAAAACGTCGCGTGGTGAACAAAAGAAAATTGAGGAAGTTTTACGGTTTATATTGGAGACCTAGAATTAAGACATAATGTTACATTATTGTATTATAAATAATTACATGAATAGTTTGTAAGTGATAGTGCAAATGACTGGGAACGGCCGCAAGGGGCTCCACAGCAAAATTATTTTTTCGCTTATTTTATTTTTTGAAGTTTAGTTTTGTGTTATCAAGTGAGCAACTATGTATATTGTTACAAGATTATTTTAGACGGAATTCATTCCGCACATTCCGCAAACTTCGAAAGTAAAAGTTGAGTAGCGAGTGAGCGAGTATGCATGAAGTCGACTGTGTGTAGTAGGCCATCGAATACATATACCATGTGACGAGGTGTTCGTTCGTAATAAAAACAAAAGAAAAAGAGTATTTTAGAAGATTTGACTTATACAAAACCGAAGGCAGTTCGTGAGACTTACGACCTTACTCGCGGAGACAGGCAAGGGCAAACGTTTGAGGGCCATCAACCAAATGTTTGATGAAGCATTGCATTTTTAAGAACAAGTCTGAGTTTAAAATTTGTTTCGTTATTTTTAGGTTTTTGTGTTTAAGTTAGATGTTCTTATTTCGCTTTCACGTTACCTTATCTAATAATTTACGCTCTGTTACCATTTCTATAAGTCGATTGAAATACTTATATTCGATCGTTGCGTAGCTTATCGTTTTTGATATTACGGGCGTTGTGTTTTGTATCGTATATTTGTCGTTGTTAATTTATTATACATTTATGTTGGCGGTTTCGCGAAAGTTGTGTGCATTGTGTGACTCGTGCAATTGGAGAGAGCAACGAAATTTTTCTATTGAGATCTTAATTGTCGCAAAATATATCGGTTGTTGCCCGCCTCGCCCCCTTTGAATAGTAAGTAGGTACCTTGGGAAAGACGCGGCGAGGTGGGGGACCTTAGGGAGGGATATTAGGGTGGTTAGGGGGCGACTAGGCCGGGGCCGCGCCGTTCCCAGCACTCCTGTGATATTAGCCTAGACTGTATGTCGTGTTCGTACTAGTTTCCTCATCCGTCTTTTTTGGACGCTGTGCTTTGTGAGTAACGCTTTAAGAAAATGTTTTTTTTTTCTACGCGGCGGTTCAATACTAATTAACCGGATTGTAATCGTTTAAATCAACTGTAGTGAGTTTAGGCGTCTTTCTTCACTGTATGAATAAAAATGTAGTATTTCCTTTTATATAGCGTTTTTACGTTGATAGAATTATGTATTATAAAATTAAGCGCTTGTAATACCGTCGGGATGACCCGACGGGGATCGAGGTTTGCAATAAATTGATAGCGTGCTAACAAATTGCTACATTATTCACTCTGTTTATCCTATTATATTGGAGTATTCTGCCATTTGTATGCTAAGATAAAACAACTTAATTATAAAGCATTTACAAAACGCCTAAAGTTTTACAATGAAATGTAGTCTGAAGGCAGAGAGACCCTACAAGGAACAAGACTTTTACGTTTGTAAAGGTAATCTTTCTGAGTAACGAAGCCAACACTTCATATACTACGTATTTTTCATTAGTTTTAACGGAATCATTACATACCAAATGTATTCAATAAATCAGTTGTACGCACATATAAATTAAGCAACAATGTATTCAACGAGCCACGTTCATATCTGCGTTATATACATTTTATATGCGAATGAAGGACATAGATTTTAGTTTATATTTAAATGTGTTCAAAACGTGGCTCCGAGAACTCGTACCGGAGCGAGTTTTAAGATTTTACTGTCAAAATGTCAAGAAATAAATATTTTAAACACCGAGCCTTATTTGTTTTATGTAGAAATCCTGCTACGAACGGCAATACGTTTTCAAGTTGGTAAGAATCAACGTTTCAAATCATATTTAAATAAAAAAACAATGACTTAAAAATAGCAAGTGTGCTTAATGAAATAAATTACATTTATTGATTAGCATTAAGTATTAGCTTAATTAAAATTCTAGCCGTTGACAAAAGTTAATCATTTATCGACATATTGTATCAAGGAAACATCCTAAGTAAAAGAATAGAATAGAATAAATTTTTATTCAATATCGATTACAAGTAATTCTTATTGAGAGTCATTTTTTATTTTACCACTGGTTCGAAAAAAAATCCTCTGTCCTGGGAAGAACCAACAAGAAACCCAGCGGGACTTTATTTAAAAATAAATTACATATTTAAAACATTACATGAAATGCATGACAGGTGAACAAACAACAGATTGTTGACTCCGAAGTTCTAAAGAATGTCATCTGAAATTATCTACCTACTCTAAATATGTGGATGAGACATAACGCGCCAACTTATTACAGCTCGCGCCGTCCCTCTCACACCAAGCTGGTAAGAACGAGACTAGTATTATCGAATAATTCGATACAATCTCCGCACAGTTACATGCTAGTGGGAATTGCAAAATTGTAGGTTTATGTAGTGTACATTGCTTACTGAACTCCACTTGTAATATTCGTTATATCGTACACAAAGTAATGTACATGTTACGTTCGATTATTAACGTAACGAGTTGAGTAAGCATTGCCTTTGTACGGATTCTGTCACAAAGAAATCATAATATTAAATGAAGCACAAATGTAATGAGAGAAAACATTACATAAATTAATAATTAACTGTGTAAAAACGCGTAATTGAAGTAAGTTTATTGCTTCTATCATCTGATGCCAGGGTATAATAAAAACCTTCGACACATTTCGTTGGAAATTGTTTTTAAATGTCATGTATGTAAATACTATATTTCTGACTAGGTTGATCCTAAAGGTTGGACCGAACATAATTCATTTTGAGAAAAATAGAGAACTGTTACATCAATAAACTCCATGCTAATCAACATACACAATTTGGTGACACAATTGTTTCAAGTTGTATAAAAATATATTGAAGCTACAAAAATCAGTGTGAAAAGAATGTGATAGGATGTTATGGAGAAACTGTATTAACTCAATTTTATAATACCTACTTAAATCACTTTTTTTATTTGTATTTTTTAATAATCATGCAAGTGACAAAATACACATGTAAAAATGTAATTAAATTTAAACCGTATAAATTAATTTATTGTACGTTGTAAACTGTAGTCAATCTGTTGCATACCAACTCAATTTGTTGGGTTATACAACTAGGGGCAAGGTAAACTTTTGCTGAGAACAATAAAGATAAGAGAGCATACTGTAAATGTTATCATAATTTTATTATCGTGGTTAGCTGCTATTTTATAAATGTTTCCTGTCCTAAGCTAAGAGATGATCATTAAATAAATATTAATTAAACATAAATTTATTTTATTAAATCCTTTGAACCTGACTCGAAATAGACACATAATTATATTGGAAGCTCACATGGTGCAACGTTGTTTTGTTTTGTGATATAATTTTAAGGTTGATATTTGCTTGGACGTTTGGCAGCAGCCCTAAGGGCATTCATCACCTTATTTCGCCCTGTGTGTGTGTCGTAAAAGGCAACTACGGGATTTATCATAAAGAACTTATTTACGATAAATGGCGGTGTAGCTATTTCGTTAGCGCCAACCATGGCATACTCTCCCTACAAGAGGCACATGGCCAGCAATGATATGTTGATAAAGAGCTGATAAAGAAGAAATTTTTACTATTGTAAAATTTATTTATTTATTTATTACGAAAACAGTAACAGCATCATAACAGTACAAAACCAAGACGATGCTGTACAAAAACCAAATAATAAGTGATAAATATAACTACTGACATAAAATATATGCATTTACCATTATAATTGAGAAAAAAATATGAATAGAAAAAAAGATTATAAAAACATCTCACAGACCCTTACGCCGCTTCTGTGAACCTTGCCAGGCTGCAGTGGTAAATGTCCGTTTCTTCGGAAATAATATTCAATAACTTTAAAGCCCGTGACATAGGTGCAAACCTGAGCAGATTTGTCTTCGCGTGCGGCACCTTAAAGGTGGGATGTGGGCGACGCCTAACCACCGCCTTATCAGGCACAAACAGCTGCAACGCCTCCAGTACCTCAGGATGGTATAGCTGGCCACGCAAGACTCGCCACACGTACTTGCAGAGTGCGATGTCACCACCTCACACCAAGCTGGCTGTACCCAACCGATCACGAACAAGCTCGGCTACATCAGCGGATAGAAAGGATATGAATCATCATCATTACTGCACATAATCTATTGCTTTATATAGGAGTCTTGCAGAGGAGGAATCCTATGCCCTCTGCATCATCGCCGCTGCCAAACATTATTCAATTTAAGTAATTTAGTGCTAATCTTGCTGTTATTATTGAATTTTTTAAATTATTTGTTCCAAAAAAAAAAACAGCGATCTGACTCTTTCCTGTTCCATAACCTACTTAGATAATTACTTAGATGATATGAGTAAAATTTTAAAAAATAAATACTAAAACGTCAGCATCACAAACCATTTTATTATATGAGTACTAGCTGTTTCCCGCGACTTCGCCCGCGTGGAGTTATTTTTCGCGGAACCCTAAAATAAAAGCAGCCCAAGTTACTCCTTATAACAATAGCTATCTGCCAGTGTGTATAAATATTGACAAATATTGACATTAATATTTATACGATACTAACGTCACTCAATTGTTTTGCCTTCCCGGAACCCCTCCATTAATACTTAAACTTTATGATATGGTATTAAAGTTCAAATTGACTTTTAAGTATTATTACGAATCTTTTGTATGGGAATATAGAAAAGTGTTGTTTTTAGACTTTTTCAGGCAATTTTTTAAATTTTTCTCTCCATAAGAACCATCTTCGTACTTCAAGAAATATTATAAAAAAAGAATTAGCGAAATCGGTTCAGCTGCTCTCGAGATTTGCGCTTAGCAACACATTCAGCGATTCATTTTTTTTTCGTTTTTTTTTTATGTGTGTTACCTCAGAACTTTTTTCTGGGTGAACCGATTTCGATGATTCTTTTTTTATTTGAAAGCTGGTACTTCTCGTGTGGTCCCATATGAATTTGATCAAGGTCAGACCAATAGTTTTTAAGTTATTCTTAAATAACTTATATTGAAGTCGGCTGTACAAAATTTTTAATTTTAAATTATTACACGCTCAATATTAGTCTGTCTGTATGTATCTCATCAACTCTTTATATGTAATATACTAGCTGACCATGCAGACGTTGTTCTGCCCTCTCCGACAACCCTGTGTCCTATAAAAATTCTTAAATTCGTAATAAAAAATATTGAGGCTCAATTATAGGGATAAAAATTACTATCGTATCTCTAAAGTTGGACCAAACTGCACACAGTGCAACATTTCATTGCAATCAGTTTAGTAGTTTAGGAGATCATCGTGGACAATCAATGTGATATGTAATTTTTATATATAAAGATTAACCTATTAAGGAGAAATTGTTAAAAGATGCAAAATATAGGCTAAAAAATAAACTCTAAAATGAAAAAAGCGACCAATTCTTGGTGTGCTTGGTGATACTTAGTGATTATTTTGAAGGTGGGTGTGGTTATGCTGTTCGGAGTTCGTGACAGACAAACACACTCTTATGTACTTTGCCTTATGGCCAGTTTACATTATCTTAGTCTTTAGGAGAAATATTTAGCGGGCTTTGTTGATTAATACTTCTTGATTTGATACGATTCTCACCTTTCAACTAAAACAACAGTAATAATACAAAAATATTTCATTCAGTAACTAAATTACATCGAAATGCTTTGTATTTTTCACATTCGAGTGCTACTAATGCATTTACTGTACTGTGTTTTCAGTGCTATCCTAAAGCACTAAAGGATAGTATACATTGACGGCTCCGTGGCGCAGTGACTTACCAATAAAGTGCTGTGCTAATGGCCGCGGGTTCGAATCCCACACGGAAAAAGTATTTGTATGGCCTACAAATAATTGTTACGGGTCTGAATGTTTGTCCTTGTGAAATTTATGTATGTAAACTGCCTCCACGATGCAGCAAAAATCCTAGTGTGGAGGTAACGTTTAAAAAAAAACATTATCTTAGGAGAGTGCATTAGTAGCCCAAGCTACCGTTAACAAGTTTTTACAAATGTACTCTCCTAAGAACTTATAATGTTTGTTATTATATAATAAATTCGTTCTAGAGGACAGACCGAATTTTGGTCACGACGGCAAGTCTCTACGCACAAGACGAATGCTATGTGATGTAGTTAATGCACAAGTATATGCGCAAGCACAGGTACAGTCTATACTCCCTCTCTACCATAGTCCGATGAGATAATAATCCGACACGACAGGACAGAGACGACCTGACCAATAAGGCAGTAAAAAACACATAATCTAAACCGGCCATAAGCCAAGACTTGTGTGGAGAGCATATGGCGAGAAGGTTCGCAGCGCATTCGGCATAATATTTTCAACAGCCGTCACTCACGAAACTGTAATACAAGTTAAACAAGATATAATCAGGGTTGCCACTTTAGCCAAATTATTTTATACTAGGTCCCTGAAATTATACAAAATCAAACCTTATTATTACACAAACAAACAAAACTGTTAATAAATAGTTTGTAACAATGCAATTATCATTTTTTACTTGTAATGTTAACGAATACAGAGCTGTTTCTAATTTAAGTAAATTAAAAGCAGTGCCTATTTATCATCAACGATTCGAACACGGAGAGAAAGCAATGTGAAAGTGATATTTTATTTCTCGCAAAGTTTACTTTACGTATGAATTCTTATTATTGTTTTCAATAATACAAACTAATATGCAATTCAAAAAGTATACATAAGAATTTGGTTGAATTATATACGTCTTGTTTCCAATTGTACGGCGTGGCAGCCCTGCATATAGTATTTGACAGGTATACCGGACGCCCCTCCGCTGAAGCCTTAACTTTAAGCTTAGGATTACTCCTGAAGAATACTTTGTTTTCACGAAATGTACTTCAACTCACTATATCTTTACACATTCATTCGTGAAATATTACTTCTTCTTTATGAGCTAACAGCAGTTCACAGCTGTACATAAACTTTTCCTGTAGCAGGCAGGTTATGTCATATGCATCTATCCTCGATTAAGAATCATAATATTTTGTCAATCCTGAGGACTAAGTTGGAATGCCTCGTTTCTAGTAAAAAGGGCCTCCAGTTCTCTACACTCACAATACGAAAAACAGCAGCATTAAGCTGAAGAATGGGTGGATACTCAGGCATTTCCTGTGGAAAAAAAGACTGTGGTTTTCACAGATACCTACGAGGATCGTCTCTTATGGAATGATGGACACTCTTATGCCAACACTATACGGCTAAATACCATAATTTTAACACAACAAAGATTCTAGATAGTATACCTACTGCCATTTATCGGAGGCCGACAGGTCTTTTTGATTATTCCCATAGTCGCTTCATGAAATAGGATGATTGACTGAGTGAGGTTCTGATTTGCCACGTGCTAGCAGTGAAGTGAAAACCGCGAGGAAATTTGCATGTCTATATTTCGAGGAGTTTCTTCACTATACGTGGTAGAGCCACGCTGCAGCAACTATATTATTGTATCACTCAAACTATTGCTTCCATAAATTAAATTTAAAAGTCTTGCAAGTTATCTTATGAAAACGTAAAATTTATTAAGGGCGTAATAATAGAAGTAACAGCATGCAACATATTATGTTGTAAATTAATGTTTAAAAAGGTCTCGTTGAGCTCTTGCTGGTTCTCCCCAGGACAGAGGTTCCTTCCGAACCAATAATAAAAGCATAAATGATTACGAGTATATTATATTATTAGCCCCAGGGCTTGACAATCTTTTCCGCTGTTTTTTAATATTGGACTTATAAGGTCTAGTGAAAAAAGAAGATATATTTACGTAACCGCCTTTCCTGAAGAGCAATTCTGCTCCTCGCTCCCAGCGTAGCACCACCATGGAGGACGGAATTGACCAACTTATGAAGGACTCGATCGATATTCCAAAAACCAACAGAATCTCCGCTGTAGTTTCATTCAGTAGTCCTGTATAAGGTGCTGGGGAGCCATTCTAATCTCGCTCAGATGGACGTTATGAGTATATACATATACATACATGTATATCCAGAAAATTCAAGAAAATGTGTTCAAGCAATGCTTTCTACTACAAATTAAATTTATAAATTTTCACTAATAAGTTCGTAAGAACACACGTATTCAATCAAATTTAAGTGCGATTTGATGTCGAAATTATCAATTCCAATTTCAGGTATATTTTTAGCTCTTATGAATATCAAATACTTATTCAAAATATTATAGAAAATTTATTTTTATTAAAAGAATTTCTACAAG